TTGGCACAAAGAATATAAATAACTGGCTGAAGCAAGTGAGCATATTTATACTCAATAGTTCATGAGTGGAAACAGTCATGGTCCTTAAGGAAGGAATTAGTGAGATTAAAAGTACTGGCCTGTGATAGCTAGAAGGTAGACAATTTTTTTAATTGTCCATATAATTGTTACATTTAAGTGTTTAAAGAATACTCAGTTTCCTTCTACTCTCTGCAATCTGTTTACATGAGTTTTACTGCGAGGATGATTTTGGTAACAAAGGTGGATCTAATTGGCTACACACCCCACATTACATCAGTTTCAAGACATTCATATGTATTTGATGCAGAAAATAAGGTAATGAATGCTGGCCCACTGAATTAAGGAAGGTGGCTAATCAGTCAGCAAATCCTGTGACTTCATCCCTGTGAGCACAGGGCAAGGTAGGTGGTCATTTGGTTACAACATAAGCTCCCTGTCCTAGGAAGAAGGGAAACCACAAAAAATGAGGAGGCTAGAGCAGTAAACAGATTGGGCTCACGAGAGGAGGAAGATAGATATGTACATAGGCGAAAGATGAAAGGCCGGCTTTGTGGCCCCCAGTGTAGGGAAACTAAACCATTATTCAACAGATCATTTCCTGTGCTGCTGCAAGACAGTTTTGCCAGTCAGTTTTACTGGTGATATGCTAAAACGGAGGTGTTGGTATTATGAAATTAACCAGTGTAATGCCCAGTAGCTAATGTTGAGAGTTTTTTAAAAATATATAAATAAAACAACCTTTATTTATACTGATAAAGCCTCACTGTAGTGAAACTAACAGGCATTGATATATCTATTGTTCTTCATCTGTAATATGCATGTATTGTGGGCTAGACTCTCGACTGGCGTATACTGGCATACCTCCATGATTTACAGAGGATCTGGCCCTGTGTATTTTAAAAGCAGTGTAACCGATATATTAACAAGAATTTAAGTCTATACAGAAGAAAGCGCTCTAGGGCAACCTCCACACAAGGGACCTGGCATTTCCACATGAAGTAGATGCTGTGGTAATTACTACCTATAAATAAGGTGATACTGTAAAATGGTGGCCCCGATGTATTCACTTCTGGTTTTAATTATCCTTGCTTTTTATTAGATTTATTATATATGGAGAAGTAAAAATCTCTGCCACACTTTTTGTATTTGTGATCAGTTGAAAAATTAAATTTTCAAGCAACTTGCATTTCAAAAGGTGTTCCAAAAACAAACACTTCAAGTAATCACTGGGCTCCAATATAGGGCCTCATTTAAAGCCCACTGAAGTTAATGGGAGTCTTTCCATTGATTACAATGGGCTTTCGATAGGCCCCAAATGCACTCTATTTTGACCTGAAGAAGAACTCTGTGAAAGCTTGTCTGTCTCTCTCACCAAGAGAAGTTGGTCCAGTTTAGGGTTACCATATCTCATAAATAAAAAAAGAGGACCCTCCACGGGCCATGGCCCCGCCCAT